ACGTTCCGTACGTATACCCGCAATCCGCGATTGCGCACGTTCGTGCAACGGTACGTGTGCACCGCTCGCGGATGATTCGTGCCGCCGTTAAGACGTCCGCGTAACGCGGCTCGCGGCAAAAATCATCGCCCCGCGACGCTCACACGCATTCGCCACGAGAAAATCATCGATGCGGCACGCAGTAAAAATATTTGGCTCTGCTTCTGTGAAAACGCGTCGAAGGATTTTTCATGGAATTCTGGCGGAACGATGAATATTTTGTAGATTAACCCTTTGAACTCTGTACGCTCCAATACAGCACCAGGAATAATATTAGATATTTTAATGAATCTTAAAGAAACTACTCTACAATTATTAGATTTTAGACATCCAAATTTTGTACTAAGGAAAATAAAAGATCTGAAAAATGTTATGGCATTTTTCATTTTCGCTAGGGATAGTATAAAAATCAGTTGCAGTTGCTGATAGATTACAAAACCATCTGGAGTGATAAGGGTTAACACTAGAACTAGTCAAAATGATTGATTTCGATTCTATTGTTTATTAATTATATCTTTAAAGTATTGAATATTCGTAAAGATTTTGAAAATGAATAGTTTCACTTGAATGCTATACGTTTGAAGAAACTGAAAATAGTTTATTGTTCGAATTTTTATAGGGATTACATAGTCGTATCAAACGCTTGGAGTTTCAGTGTGAAAACTGAAAGAGAATAAGGGAGAATAGGTAGAAATAGTGAGATTTGATCTCGAGAAAAGTGATTTTGTGGTATTCTATAGTTTATACAATAATATTAATTGTTTACGTGCAACTGAGTAATAGGAAATTATATTGCAGGCATCTGTGTATATTAAGATTGTTAACACTGGAACTACCGAGCATTTAATACGATTAATATGTAATCCGTATAAAAATTGTAATAATAGATTATTGTCAGGTTTTTCAAACATTCACTATAATATTCAAATGAAACTAATTATTTTCAAGATCATTTCAATTATTGAATGCTTTTAAGATATTAATAATTGCGAAACAAAAAGACCAAAGCCAGTCATTTTGACTGGCACGGTAGTTCTAGTGTTAATAATATAATTACAACGTCGGAATTATGATAGTAAACGGTTTTTGCTGAGAAATGTAACAAAGGTAGCATACTCCAGATATTTTCTATATTGCTTTGTGTCATGCGCAATCGATAGTACATTTCCGAATTTCCGATAAACATATAAAAATCCGCGATTTACAAGTTACGTAGTATCGAAAATGAGGAAAGGTGGAAGATGATGAATTGGACCAGCATCCCTTTCGCAGCTCTTTTCGCGAGCAACGCGGAGTGAGCTCGCTCGCGAGGCAATAACACGGCGATGCAATAAATCCGGTAGGACCGTAAAGAGATGTTTGAGTTAGTCGATCAACAAAGGTTAGCTCGACAACGCGGAACTGACGCCTCGCTAGACCCTCCGCAAATCATCCCCCACTCCTTTCTAAATTAGTTTATCTTCCGCGCGAGTTAGGAAAGTTGTTCTCCCCATTGAACAGTTTGATTTGAAAATTGGAGGGGTGAGTTTTTTGCGGAAGAAATACACTTTAATAGAAACAGAAAGACTTTCGGAAGGTCTTGCAGATGATTGATTATCGAAAAGGGTTGTTTTTCATCATTATAGTTCTTTTTTGGAACAATTCTTTAGACAGTGGTATAATTACTCCAGATTTGAGGTGATTAATTATAGTCTGAAGTACTGAAGAGAAATATAGCAAATGTGTTTAATTGGAAAAAGGAAGATTCTTGTAACGTTTTAAAGATGGTTGATTATTTAAGTTTTTAGTTATTATAGTTCCTTTTTGAAACATTTATTTAGACAGTAGTATAATTATTCTAGATTTCAGATAATTAATTATAGTCTGAAGTTCTGAGGAGAAATATAGCAAATGTGTTTAATTGGAAAAGGGAAGATTCTTGTAACGTTTTAAACATGGTTGATTATTTAAGATTTTAATCATTATAGTTCCTTTTTGAAACAATTATTTAGACAGTGGTATAATTATTCTAGATTTCAGGTGATTAATTATAGTCTGAAGTTCTAAGGAGGAATATAGCAAATGCGTTTAATTGGGAAAAGAAAGATTCGTGTAACGTCTTCGAGATGGTCGATTAGCTGAAAGGGTTGTTTCCCATTATTCAAATATTCGAAACTGTTCTTTAAACAGTGATACAATTATTCCTGATTTCCCGTGGTTAATTCTAATCTGAAATTCCAACGAGAAATACACCGAATGCCCTCTTTTCACGTTCACCACGGGCGATCCGTCTAAACAGATAAGGGGGCTAACTAATTCAGTTTGATAAGCCCAATACGTCGACATTTATTAATGGTCACGGCGCGAAGAATAAACCGAGGGATAAACGGGAGAAAAAGGAACAGGAACGAAGGTGCTTGATCGCGTATAAATACATAAAACAAAGTTACTGACGAAGAACACCACCCGTGCAGCGTTACATCCCTCGTTCATTTCCATGATTAATAAACGTTATCTCTTCACGTCGAAGCAGCTGAAGTCATTAGGCGGCTCGTATAAACAGCCAATTTACAACAGAGTAGTAAAAAACTATTCTTTTACACGTGAAAAGTAAATTATACCCGCACTCCCGGGGGGGAATTCTCAATTCGACGATTAATATGTTAAGTTATGTTGATTTATGTGGCGGGGCAGCGTACGGCGTATAATCACCGGCGTGTAATTTAATTTTATGTAATCGCACGCCGATCCCGTTCGACGATTATTGACAACATTTTATTTTCCAATTTGCGCGTAATTTCATCGGCAGGGGGCGGGGGAAATCGGGGGTGGAAGCCACAGCGCACGCGCGAACGAGCGTACGCTCTCTATACCTCACCCCGCGAATGGAATTCGGGGTCGCTATTAATTATTACAACAATCGTGACGAGATAAACGAGCAAGAAAATTAAACGACCGTCCCGATTCCGTGGCCGAGATAAACGCGATTCGAATTCACGCTATTTAATGTGTAAAATTATACTTCGGCGCGGAGTGATAATTATCGTTTTCTCCACGGGCTCCCGCCGGTTCCGAACGGTACGAGCCGGCGCACCGACGGAAGCTGTTTTTAACAGCGGAAGGTGTAGAATTTGCAGGCACCTCTAATTATACGAATTACCACAAAGCAAATACGGCAATCCGACACAGCCGGGGGCACTTTTATTAGGCTGACTCCCCTTTGCCCGACGTCTATCTCGCGACTAATGTCTCGGCTTGTTATCGACAAGACCGGCAACATCGCGCATGGATCGTCGACGGGGTGTACACTGATCGAGGGAAGTAAACAGGAACCAGGCGAAATGATTCCTCGTAGTCCTCGATACTCGAGAAAAGCTTATCGAGAATCGGTTCTTCAATTTTCGGTAACTGGGGTGAAACGAACGTGTTTTCCTCCTGATTTCATGGGGACGCTTAGTGAACTGAGAAATCGGGCTATTTGTACATAGTTATGTACTGATTTCAGTTTGTCCATTGTTACTCTAAATACTTCCGAATTGATTCATTGTTCTGTGATGTTTTGTAATTATAATGAGACGCGTGGGGAAGGCGTATTTAGCACGATAGAACACTGCTTCGCATTGCATGCAAAGATGATACGGTTTTGAATCTGCAGATAAGGAATATTTCCCGAAAGTTTATTGCTGCAATGAGAATATCGAAGTTCTTTCTATAAAATTGTTAACAACAAAGATTCCCTTAAAAGACTGTTTAATAAAGAGTCTATAAGGGGTTGAAGAATGTTGCGAACACATCTGCAAGATCTTAATGGATTAAACTACCCAGCTCCTCGGCTCACTGTCCACACAATATCCCGGACAACAAAAACTGAGCCAACCGAATATGAGTATTTAATTTTCTAATTGGTTCGCGAGCCGCCGCTGGAAGCTTGAAACTTTCAGCCGGCTAAACGCGGTTATTCAAAGACGAGGAAGGAAACGAGCAACGGCTCCGCGGGCAGGAGCGATTTCCTCGGGAAAAATGGCGGCGGTACCGGTGCCAATGAAATTATAACGAAATTAGGGGCCTCGCGTTATTAACGCGCCGCGTAAATTTTGATTCGCGGAATCGTAGAGCTCCGGCGTTAATTAATACGCGTGCGATTATTGCGGGTCCCCGTGTTACGGTTAATGACGGCTCGTCATTGCGCCGACCGTGAATTAACGGCGACAAAGAGCCGCTGAAGAGGTTTTTCAACGGGTTACTCGTACTTTTTTTTTCGTATCATTTCAGTAAATAACAGGCAATTACAGCATTCGCGGGGATTAACAGTTCCATATTCCTTACGGTACCGAGATTGCAAACAGAAGACCGTATAATGGAAGTTAATTATATACTGTAGTCGATTGAGATCGATGTCGAGCGGTGGAACGACAAGATAACGAAAAAGACGCATTTCCACTGCGATCTGAATGCAAATAAGCCTGTTAATGAGTTCGGTTCACTATAACATTGGATAAAGACGAAGCATATAGAAATATAGCGCGCTGCGACCGTTTGAGTCTGGTTTTTGCAAAAATCCGATCGAAAAGTGCCGAGCGATCGAGCTTCTTTCGTCTCAACGCAGAAACTGAGTTACGCGTTTCTATTTTTACATAAAAACATGTTGGATAATTTGATCGTTTCCCGCTTATAAGTGGATAATAAGAGAAACAGAGAGAAATAATTAGAAGGAAAACAAATAAGTTTAATCGGACTTTTAGGCAGGCGACGGGGAAACGCGATCGCGCTTCTTTCGTTTCAATTCAGAAACCGAGTTACGCGTTTCTAGTTTTATAGAGAATCATGTCGGATAATGTAATCGTTTCCCACTTATAACTGGATAATAAGAAAAAGAGAAAGAAATAATTAGGAGGAGAGCGAATAAGTTTAATCCGACTTTTAGGCAGGCGACGGAGAAACGCGCCGCTTAGCACTTGAACGGTTAAGCGAAGAAAACTTACTGTTTCTCTTCAATTTCGAAGGAAATCGATCGAAGGTTCACTAGATCGAACAATAATTCACTATAATATCAAAGAAATAAGTAACTCGACAGGGGTCGCGCGTGACGGTTTATAAGTTGGCCGTACATTATCGTCGTGATGTCAGTGAGATACGGCGCGTCGTGAGACACACGAAATTCCGTTCCGTCGAAATGCGTCAGGACGCGAATCAAATGATTTCGCGAACGTGTAATGGAACCCCGATAGAACGGAATTGCGTGGCATATTCCGCGCCGTCGTTCATGCATTTCCAGGAACTCCTTTACTTTTAAACTCGGCCCGCGAAGCTTATCGCGCGATCTTCTTTTTCGTCCGCGACCGGCCGGCAGAACTTCGAAAGGAAACTCGGCGGGTTAGAATTTTCATTGTTGCGTCTTTAACGAGCGATACGTAGTTCTCGGAGCGTCGCTTTCGCATCTCAGACGCGCGCTTTTATCCGTGCAGAACATTTTTCACCTGTAACTTCCGAGTTTCCTCTGTTGTGCGTTACACTCGCTTCGGAGATTTGCTGCCAAGGGAATTAATTAAAGAACTGATGCTAATCGAGGGTCAATCGTTAATGTTGTGATATACATTATTGAAGCGATGCGTGAAATATGTTTGATAATGTATTTCGAAACTTTTAATTGAATCAACTTCAAGAATGTTAACTGATTCTTCAACCGATTCACTCAAATTCCAATAAAATACTCGAAAATTCATCATTGAACGCGTAAAATCACAATCCACTGTCAGAATCAACATAAACGCACTGATACTTGATTTACGAGCCAACTTCACTCGTATTAACTTTTATAAACATTATTCGGCAAATTTTTGGGTCGATTTTCTTCAACGCGAATACACAAACATATATCGCAATCATCAACTTTAAAAACTTTCCACTCGAGAGGTGACTCTCACTCGCCACTTGATTTCATACTGTAAAACTATGAAATTTGATATTTAATATTACACTCTGTACAATACAAATTTTTGGAAAAATTTAAATAAAACAGTTTTGTTCCAAAATGTACCTGTAATCTCTCATCGAGTCAGTTCCACAAAGTATCGTCTACATCTCATCAGAAAGTGTTCAAATATTTCTAGTGAAAAACATCCGAAAGGTTTAAACCTTTAATTTCTAAAATCGAAGTGAACGAATATCAGCTCGTACAAGAGCGATGGAATAAGTAGTGCAATAAACATTCATAAATCTAGCGTTAAAAGTCGAAGCAGAAGGTACGTCTCGGGTACACAATTCAGCGGAGCATGTATAAAATCTTTCGCGTAACAAGCTCGCGAAGGCAGCGCGAAATAATAATCGCGCAGGTAATAAAACTGACAAGAAAACGCTTGGTTCCCTTCGAAGGCAGCCTTCAGCCGGCGAGCAAAGGTGCGTGGAGGCACTTTAAAGTTTCGATCCGGGGGTCGAAGGTTGCGCGAAAGTTGACGACAGTCGGGCGGCGATGTTCCTTCGTTACGAGTCCGTTACGCGGGACGCTTCGCTCGTTTATTCGTTAAGCCGGTGGCCCGGAAACGGCGACGAGCGCGGATTCGAACGGAAAATTCGCTGAACAAGAGCCGACCGATTAAACGGGGATCGACGCGGAACCGTTGCGAACCGCGGGAAATAATAATTAAAAGGTAATAACCGTCACGGCGAAGCCGGTGGCTCGCGACGAACGAAACCGCAGAGATGACGCGCAATCGCGATCCCATTAATAATTACTCGGTTTGCTTCTGTGTCGCGTAACAGGCTCTTTCTGTGCACGTTTCTTCGTCCCTCTCATCTCCTTCTCTCTTTCTGAATCCTCCACAGAGGCGTGCGCATCGATCGCTCAGGTTATTTCGCGTGTAATCGGCGGAGACTGCGAGAAACGTAACGCGGAACGGTGTAAATTTGTAGCTTTCCAGGGAGAGAGTTCTGCATTCTTTGAAATATTATTATTTTTCTGCTTGATTGAGATACTACAGTAAATGATTGTTAGTTGATTAAGGAAATACTGTGGATATTAAGGTTCATTAGTGAAGATTGGGAAAATTGTGCAGCGAAACGATTCGATAAGCGGGATAGTATTTCAGAAGTTAAAGTTAATCCTCAATCAAATCCGAACGTTTACAGATGCAAGCGTATTTTCAGGTTCCCTAAGGATGATTGGTTTTGATTATTTTTTGGATGTGAGTATGGATTTATTGAACCTTCGAACCGACTTCCGCGATTCGAATGAGATCGGAACGATCTCGCGGTAATTTATCTAGCATTTCGAACTTGTATCTGGTCGGATGGCATTAATCCTACGAAATTATAAGAAACCTCGAAGCGCACAGTTTAATTAAAAAGGAAATATCGACTTATCGTAATGTCCAATATAAATAACTTCCAATATCGACAAGTTCAATCTTAAATTCCACGCGGAGCGACGATTATCGAAATAACTTAACATGTACTCCTGCGATTCGAACGACAAAGTCGGCGTTGAAGCTTTATCAATGAAACAGTTTTTTCGCGCGTCTCTTCATCCAGGGAAGCCGCGAACTAATTGTCATACGGTCGTCAAACGCGGCGGTCGTATTTCTTCGGCGCTCGCCCCGCTTTGGCGCAAATAGCGTGCGAAACAGCGAGAGCACGGAGTCCGCCGCGAGTTTCATCCACGAGTGGCCAGGATCGTTCGATCACTGCGTCAACGATCCCCCGTGCGGAGCGTAATCTCTCCCCATCGGCGGCAAATTCGAATGCATTCGGATTTCCATCTGCCTTCAACGACCCCGAAAATTCAGAAGTTCGGGATTTACTTTAATACCCCGTGCTTCAACCTTCGATACAATGCGGAATGAATATTCATGCTGCGTTTGGTCTCTTTGACTATGATCAGAATATTGCTAGATTGCATCCAGCACCGGATTGGTCGGAAAGTGAGGTTGGTTTTTTGGATGCGTAATTCGTCGATGGTGATTGAAATTGAACAGAAGAGTGATTGGAAAGTGAGAGATTTTATCTTGTTAGGAGATTCGGTCGATTTCGGGAATAAAAATTTCACTGAACTTTCTGATAGTTTGTCGCGTTGTTCATGTGGATACTTATAAATCAAAAACTCTAGTTGACGACTGAACTCAAGGATATTCGAATCTACTAATTTTAATATAGAATAATTACTTGAAAGCAATCTCATCTTATAATCTCCTAAAAACTCAGATAACTATCCTACGACGCCCAATATTCGGAGAATCCAGTTCAAACAATGGCCAGCAAGAAAATACGATCCAGGTCACGCTAGCCTCAACCTCGACCCACCTCGTCGCAATCCGTTTGCCCGTTGGAGCGTTCAAAATCAACGTGGAACCGCTCGGGACTCGAGATTTTTCCCGCGGACTTCGCCTCGGTTAGGTGATTCCATGGGATAAGAGGTGTCTGTCGGCACCCGGTCGTCGTTAGCCACTGGGTAACGACCGGCCCCTCTCGCCGCGCCCCCTCCGGACGTTTAATTGCGAATCAAGTAGGAAATCCAGGCGCTACGCGCGAACGGTAGCCAAGAGGCGAAGGAGAAGAGGAAGAAAGTAGATTAGGCGGGAGCGAGAGCGTGGAACAGGAAGCAGAAGCGTGTTCGGAAGGAGGCGAAGCGCGAAATGGAGAATGGAAGGAGGAAAGGAGCTGCAGGGGTGGGAGCAGAGAGCGAGGGTGGCGAGAGAGCGACAGAAGACCGAAGACAGATGAAGATAGGGCTAGAAAGGGCACAGCAAAGGTGTAACGAAGAAGAAGATGGCAAGAGAGGGTCGCAGAGTGGAAGACAGATGAAGATAGAGCTGGAGAGGACGGAGCAAAGGTGCAATAAAGAGGAAGATGGAAAGAGTGAGACAGAAAATTGGAGGAAAACGAAGACAAGGCTAGAAAAGACAAACAGAGGATAGATAGATCTGGAATAGGCAAACGCAGGATGCAACGAAGGAGGAAGTACTAAAAGCGAGACAGAAAATTGAAGACAAAGACAAGGCTAGAATAGGGATAGGGCTAGAACAGACAAAGCGAGAGTGTAACGAAAAAGAAGATGACGA